AAATGAAAGGTTTAAAAGATTTTTAAGATAACCATTGACTTAAATTTTATCCCACTAAGTGGAGTCGGCTACAAGAATCTTTTTTCTCCATTGCGGTCTATTGAGTGTCATATTTTTATTTAATTTTGATAAATTAAGATCTTTTTTTAAAAAAATATGACCAAATCTTTTAGGTCTACCTCTACTTTTTATTAGCATAAGTTAAATCTAAAACATTCACTCTCCTAACCGGATCATCAAATGGTCGACGTTTAATGTGACCAAACCATCTTAAGACGACTCTCTCTAATCTTGTCAGCCACTAGAGCTACACAAACCCTATCACGGATATATTCATTTCGCATTTTGTCTCTATGTGTCATCTAAGTGTCAAGTAACTCATCCACCAACACTTAGCTTTATTTTATGTTTCTCTTTTAATGGCCAACATTCTGCGTCATAAAGCATTGCAGGTCTCACCACCATCTTATAAAATTCTCCATACAGCATACGTGGTACTTTTCTATCACACAATAGGCCCGATGCATTTCTCCACTTCAACCAACCAACTTGAATTCTACTAATAATATAGTCATCTATACCACCATCACTTTTACCGATAGACCCCAGATATCTAAGGCTCACACCTTTTAAGAATTGAATCACTCATAGTTACAACTATGTCACTAGAGCTACTATACTAAAATTAAATTCCATGTATTTAGTTTTAGATCTACTCAAAGGAATGTCTTTAGACTCCAATGTATACCTCCATAATTCAAGTTTTTCCTGAACTCTTTCTCTAGTGTTATCTACAAGAAGGATATCATCCGCAAAAAGCATATAAACAAGGTACATCCTCCTGTAAATGTCCAATAAGAGCATCCATAACTAAAGCAAAAGGATATAGGCTTAAAGTCAATCCCTGATGTAAGCCAACCTTAATAGAAAAATAATTTGTCAATTTTCCTTTTGTTCAAACGCAAATAACACTACCAATATACATATCTTTAATGACTTGCATATAAGTCATATCAACAACTTTCTTCTCTAATTCTCTCCAAAAGTCTTCTCTTGGAATTTTATCGTAACGTTTTTTTTTAATCAATAAAAATCATATGTAGATCCTCCGTATTCTCTCCGTATTTCTTTATCAAACCTCTCAATAAATGTATAGCTTCCATAGTAGGTTGCCCGACATAAATCCAAACAGATTATAAGAAATCTTTGTAACACGTCTTAACATATGTTCAATTACCCTCTCACAAAATTTTAAAGTATGATGCATCAACTTAATTCATTTATAATTTGGACACTCTTGTGCATCCCCTTTATTCTTAAAGATGAAGACCATAACTCTCCGTCCTCTTGGACATCTTTTTAGTTTTTAAAATAATATTAAAGAGTTTCGTAAGCCAAGAAACACTCAAATCTAAACATTTTCACACTCAATTGGGATATATTCTGGTCCTAATAAATTTTCACCTTTAGTTAAAGCCTCCTCCACTTCTTTTTTACTAATGCAAAAATAAAAATAAATTTTTTTTATTATTATTAACGATATTAAGATCACTAAGATCGATCGTATTTTCATAAACTTTATTGAAAATATCAAAATCACTCACTCGTGTATGTTGAATATCTTCCTTTAAGAAAAGCACCTTTTGATTTTCATCTTTAATATAGTTCACTTGAGTTAAAACTTTTTTTTAATTTTCTCTTTGTATGACTAATTTATACATATATTTTTCACCCTCTTTAGTGTCTAATCTATCATAAAGATCACTAAAAACAGAATTTTTAGCGTCACAATTTGTTCTCTTAGACTCCCTACAAACTACCTTATATTTTTTCGAGTTCTCTAAGATTTTGTATTAAAACTAATTTTTATAACACAACTTCTTTTATTTTATATTTTCTTGCACAGTTTTATTCCACCACTAACTATTATTTATTTATAGAATTTTTTTTTATTTTCCAAGTACATCTTTGTCACTTGTTTAATAGTGTCTGTTAATTTATCTCACATAATTTTTTTTTTCTTCATAAACATATAAAATCTTGAAATCTTGAAGTTTACTCATAAAAATAATTTTATTTGTATATTTTAGGTGACTCGTCTGATTCTATGATAATGATTGCTAGTATAATTTATCTTACAATTCTTTATCTTAAAATCCAGAACTAATAACCGATATTCTCGACAATCTCTTCTTCTCAAAAGATAATAATCAATTTGTTTTTCATTAGATCCATTTTATAAGTAATAATATGTTCGTTTTTTTAAAAAAAAAATTATTAGCAATAACAAAATTATACGCTATAATAAAATCTAATATAACTCTACCTTCTTTATTAATCACTACAAAATCATATACATCAAAACCGTAGTCATCATGAATATTTTTAAAATCTTTTACTGATTTATCAACATGCCGATTAAAATCTCCTCAAATAAAAACTCTTTCTTCAAAATGTATCATTTGTATTAATTCTTCTAGGTCATTCCAAAATTTTTCTATAAAACCTACATCTAAATCTATTTAAGGAGCATAAGCACTTATAATATTAAAGATCTTAATATCAACAACAATCTTAAAGGTTATAAGTCTACCTCCAATTCAATTAATTTTTACAACATTATCTTTCAAACTATTATCTATAATTACATCTACACCATTTTTAGTGTGACTCCTACCTAAAAACTAAATTTAAAATCCAACTATCAATCTACTTAGCTTTTTCTCCAATAATTTAGTTTCTTGAACATATAAGATGTTTTTCCTACGAATCATAATATCAACTAAATCTATTAATTTGTCTGTGAGAGTACATATATTCCAATAACTTATCATAATATTAGTTTCATGAACTAACTCATTTACTAGCATCTGTCTGTAATGTGGAAACTTTTGCTCATTTGACACTACACCTAGGCAGGCACCGGTGCACTTGTACACTTTTCACAGTATTCAGATCATAAAGCACGCTTCTAGATGACGCCATATATCAATTAGGATTAAGTCAAATTTAATTTTAAAAAAATAACATATTAATAACATAAGCGAGTAATCACACTTAAACCACTATTTATATTTTTAAAGCATTGTATCAGAAACAAGTACATTACAAATCAATAATATAATATAATATATTTTTACATAATTAGGGTTGTAATCGAGCCAAGCCGTGTCGAGTATATCATAGTTCGAACTTGGCGTGGTATAATTATAAGTTGTTTATATTCGGCTTAAGCTTGTGTCGAGCTTTCATATATTGCTCAAGCTTGACTTGTTTATTTTTTTAATGTTTGAACTTGATTTGTACTTAATTTGCTTATGACAAGATACAAGTATTTAAACGAGCTAATAAATGAGCTATTAATTCAAATGAATATCTAAATTTTCATATAAAAAATTAATAGAAAATTATACAAATTTTATCACAACTATTAATTTAATGATTATAAACTTTAAACCCTACAATATCTTAAATCTCATTTATCCTCCATTTTAACGTAAATCCCTCTCTTATGAGATATTTAGTGCAATGATTTGTGTAGCATTTAAGCATGATTTAACTTAAATCTTACCAAACAATTAAAAATAATAACTTTAAAATCTACAGAAACTTAATATCAAGTATTTATAAATCATATATAATACAAGTTATCAACAAATAAGTTAATATTCTAGTTAATTAAATTTTATTTAAAGAATATATCATATATTATATGAACTATCATCGAGCTTAATATCAGTATTCAATAAGTTATTTGTTGAACAAAAAATGAGTTTGTTCGTCAACATAAATGAACAAGTTCGACAATGTTCGTGTTTAGTTCATTTAAGCTTTGAGCTTTTAAAAATTGTTAGTGTATGTTTATTTACTAATTTGAATGAACGTGATTGAGTCTTAATCGAGCCAAGTTTAAGTTGCTCATCGAGTGCGTTAGTTCATTTACAGGCAAAAAACACATAAGCCTCACTAGGTATAATGAGACTTAGGAGTATTTATTTGTAAGCCTCAATTCAAGGCATGCGCCTCAAATGCCTTTATAAACAAGGCTTTCTTGACCTCTCTTTGGTCTCAAACACAATCATTGCTAGAGTATTTTGATTCCTAGGTTCTATGTCTTCTCAGGCTTCAACGATAAATTATATTGAGTAAAAAGACTACATATGAGATTTAGAACACCCTCTCCAACTAGTACAATGCCAATAGTATCCTCTCATCAACAATAGAAATGCACCTATGTCGCCTCAACAATCTTAGGCTGAGACAATTCTAGATGTGTACAACACAAATACTCATGCTAGTATTTAAAAATAAAAATTCAATGAAATGACAAACTAGATGGTCAAAAGGAAAGATAACCGGAGTAATTTCAATTTAAATTTCAATCTTCTAGATCAATCCCACTTAAAAGGGGCTTATAACATTTTCTAGCAGTGTCACTGGATAAAGCAATGGGAGAGAGCGTTGGAGTTCTTGTAAAGTTATCACTAAACTAAAAATAATATTAATGGGAAGCAGTGGCCAGTTATCAAGTTCCGCTATGCCAAAAGTGGCCCAAACTATCACAAGAATGCCAAGCCTTCTGGTTTATAATAGGTACAAGTCTGGAGTTGCTTTGATTGATCGAAACAAGGGATGATCAATATAGTGTACTGCCCTTCCAGAAAATAAGAAAACTTTGACTCTGTTAGTAATAATACTAAAGTGGAGCCACTTCAGCTGCTAAGTGCTCACGCCTATCCGCATTGCAGAACACAATCAAACATAAAGTAGAATTTACCATATCAAAATATATCCAGCCCTAATTTAGTGTAAAATTAACAAAGTATGCCACGATGCAAGCAAGCATGGCATTTGGAGATAGGAAAGCAAAACAGAACATGAAATCATAAAATATTAATGGAATGTAGATGCGAATATTTCTTATAAATTAAAATTGGATTTCTTCTGTCTTTCTTCCTAAAATTCACTGACAGGAATCCTAAAACAGAGATAATACATACAGAATCGATGGCAACTGCAAAGTAACCCCCGTCTTCTGCAAATCCTGAAGAAAATGAATAGCATATAAAGAAAACCCAAGCAACAATCTCTGTTTCAAACTCATTGCAAACAGCAAACCTTTCCCAAGTTCCATAACTGAAGATAACATTTTGGTGATATCCTTCACGTCCCTGCACACATAGTGACACACCCTCAGAGCTGGCTTATCAGGGCCACTAAACTGACCAATCTTTTCCTTCCAACCCAGGGGATCAGAGTAACAGTCCAGAATTCGCAAGCTGAAAATTACAGGGAGCATAAAATATTAAATAACACTCTACAAACAAGCCAAAAGCACTTGAATCCACAGAATAAAAGAACATACGATAGCGATGCATCCAATCCTTTACGCTTCAGCAAACTTATGTAGAACGACGGGCTCTGGGTAAGAGCAACAAGTACCAATCCACTGGCAGAGGAAGAAGAATCAAATTTCAGTAATTAACAACTCCCTCTAGAAATATAGTAGTTCGAAACTGACCGTGCTTGGGATATTCCGGCGCAAACATTGGCAGCGAGAGAGCATAGAAAGTAATTGAAGGCATGGATTCCTGAATGGCTTTGCAGAGTATCCTTAATGGTTAGGGCGGGCGAATGTTCTCCCTCGAGAGACCTACCCTCAATGATTTACAGACCGACAATTCAGCCATGAAAAGCCCTAAACAGAGTAGAAGCAAGGGAAAATAACTTGCTCTTTCGCTCCGTGAGTATCATCTAGAGAAGCACGGAGATAAAAAAAATCTGAGGCGCAGAGAGTGCAGCTTGCCGGAGCCCGGGCGAGGTGGCTGCGGAAAAAGACCTGTCTGTTCCCTTAAAACAGGGCGAAGGCAAAAAACGATGCCCTCTCCCGTCAACTGTCGTTTTTGTCGATGTGTTTGTAAAATTAATTGGAGAAATCACAAATATGGCTGTCTAAACGGTTGTTTGTTCGCGAACAGCACGTATTCGACTCATTAATTTAGTTTGATAAGTTAACGAGTCCAACACGAACTAAGATGTGTTCGTTCGTGTTCGGCTCGTTTTGGCTCGAAATACTACTCATCAAGTGTATATATATATATATATATTAAATAGTATTTTAAAAAAATCTAATTGACTACAAGGCTACAAAGATTTGTAATCAATTAAATTTATAATCAATTAAAATATTGATTAAGAAAATAGAATAAAAATTATTAAATTAGATTCAAATTATGTTTTAATATAAATAATAATTTTTAAATCTTGCTCAAACTCTTATTGTCTTATGGCTACATGATTAGGGTTGTTAAAATGACTGTTTGTTCGTGAACAACTCATATTTGGCTCGTTAAACAAACGAGTCGAACACAAACACACTTTTTGAGCTCGAAATATAAACGACGCTCGTGTTTGACTCGTTTACACCCCTAATCACAAATATAAATAATTAGGGCATTTGCGTAGACACCGCCCAATTCTTATGCATTTACATATACAACACCTAACTTAATTTCTTACATTTACACCACTCAAATCATTCATATAATATCAAAAATACCACCAAAATATTAGCACCTACAGTCGAATCATCAGAATCATATTGAGAATTATTCACATCATTATGTAGAATAGGATCAACATTCACCATAAAAGATACCTCATTAATAATCATATTATCAAAAATAGGGATCATATTAGCAGATGACTCACAATTATCGGATAAAACATTAGTAATAACATTAATATCTAAAAAATAGAAGAGTTAAGAATATTATCCGGACTCTCAGAAGATCGATTAATTTTAACTGACTGACTTCAATTGCTTCAAATTCCAGCAACATGTAATTTATTAAGATTCCTTGCTCTTAATATGGGAATAACATTAACGTGTAAATAAGAAATTTTTTGACAGTTAGAACGATGACGAGAGAAGATAGAACAAGCCTTCAATTCATAAACCACAAAAATAATAAATTTTCTATTCTTAAAAACAATTGTAACAGATTTCAGGTAAAGGTGAGTCAATGTTAATTTGAGCATTAACAATGTAAAAGATAGCCTAGAACCCTTAGTTGTCAAAACATCAACTGCAAAAGGTACACCAATTTTGTTAGTTATTTTTGATATATCATTTTCTGAGCAACCAAACAAAGAAAGATTAGAAAACTTAATCCACATAAAAATTTCCTTGAAATTCTTCTCGAATAGGCTATGAGTTAATAATCTATTTTTTTAAAATAAAATGTTTGCTACCAATAAACCAGCGACTATAAGAAAGAATCATCTCAAAATTCTCAGAACAGGTAGATTTGAATAAGAGAGAAGATCAACTGAACCTTTCAACTTTCAAATCTTACGAATAATTTGAAAAATATTATCATAAAAATGCATTATGCTTAAAACATAACCAACAAAAACAAGATCCCATTGCTTAGATCTAATATCTATCTATTCATCCAAGAAAACAACTTTTCTATATGTGCAAAGAACATGAGGTAAATTAAAACAAGTCGAAGAAGTAGAATTCTAAGAAACTAATCCCTTCAAGTTTAAGACAGATGCCTACTCAGAATTAGAAATAGATCGTTCGAAGAAGAAGAAGATAGAGGAGGAAAAAAAACTCCATGAAGAAAATAAGATGTGCAAAACCCAAAAAACCAAAAAGAAACTCACAGGAAGAAAAAATATCACAAAGATTTCTCAAAAAAAAAAAGGAAAAGAAAAAGAGATCTTGGTCAAATTGCAGTGGTATTGTGATATATCAAACAAACCCTAAAGAGTTTCAAGAATCACAATAAATATACAACTCTCTTACCATTAATGATATATTAATGTTTTTTTTTTTGCATTCTATATTTTCACAATTAATTTTAAACATTTGAAATTAGACTAATTTATTTATATAAAAAAAACTAGTATTAAAAAGTATTAATATTTAACTATTATTTCAGCTCACATTACTTTTATAAATGAATTAAAAAAGGCCATCTCCCTTATTCCATTTCCAGTTATGCTTAGGGGTGTAAACGAACCGAACACGAACGAACAAAGCTTGTGTTCGTGTTCGGTTCGTTTAAAATTTAGTTTGCTTGAAATAAGCTCGTGTTCGTTTCTTAACGAACGAGCCGAACACGAGCTGTTCGCGAACGACGAGCCAGTTTGACATCCCTAATATTAATATATAAAAATAATATTATATATTAATTATATAACTTATATTGTATAAATATACAATATCTATATTAGTATATTACTACTATAGTATATTAATATATTATTATTATTATTTTATTATATATTATAATTTATAAAATTTAATGTTTTAAAATATAATAAATTTTTTATATATAATTATTTTATAGTATTTTATATTTAAAACAATAACAATTCGAACACGAACGAACGCATCACTGTTCGTGTTTGGTTTGTTTAACTAACCGAACGAAAAAAATTTGTTCACGTTTGTCTCGTTTACTTATCGAACGAATCGAACACGAACTCATTGACGAACCGAACACGAACTGTTCGCGAACAACGAGCTTTTTTGTCATTGGATTCATTGGTGATTGGTAGTTTCGGCTGTTTGCTGTTTGGTGATCTTCTTTCCCTTTCATAGCTCTGCCCTGCTTACCAAGCACTCCTGGTGTGAACTGAAAAGCGGAAAGCTCCCACTAACCACACCGACAAGGAGCCAGAGGTTCCGGAATTTGCGGCCTTTGCTTCCTATCATCTGCTCCGCTCTCTCAAGAAAGGGAGGGAGAGAGGCGGAAGCACTAAGCGGGTCATCTATGCCAGCTTTGGCGAACGAGATCGAGCTTTGATTGTCGTGGTTGGCGGCATGGGGGACAAGCAGCACGAGGAGGGGTGGTTCATTTACAGCTTCGTGGCTCGGGGGACATTGGTTCTAGCTGAGTATACAGAGTATACCGGAAACTTCCCGGCGATAGCTGCACAATGCCTACAAAGACTCCCAGCCTCCAACAATCGCTACACTTACGCCTGCGACCACCACACCTTCAATTTCCTCCTTCACGATGGCTATGGTATTTTCTCTCTCTATCCCACACGCACATTTCCCTACGTCTCACTCTCTACATCCGATCTGGTCTATGTTAATCAGATGTCGATATGTTCAGGAATTCACGCCTTCAAATTTTGTTTGATGAGAATAGATATGGAAAATTTTCAATGCCAGTAACTTTTGACATATTTTGCTCATTCACTGGTATGCAGATCTTGTAAAGGTCGGAAATCCTCTGTTGGATGCGGGTTTTTTTCTTTTTGTTTTGCTTTAGTTTATAGAGGCTTGTTCTGTTTTCTAGACCTCGATGGCTTAGATTTGATGGCCTCATGTTCTAATAATAGTTATGCTTCTTGTAGGCTCCGAGCCTACAATTTCTTCCATGTTTTTTTCCCTTTTATTTTGATTGTCGGTATCGCTTTCGAGCCTGCCTGCTGATTGCGATGGGCAGCGTTCATTTAGTCAAAATGAACTTTTGCAGAAATCACCTAACATTTGCTAATACCAAGATCGATCTTATGAAAAAAAAAATATATATTTTTTTTGTTGCATATGTTGACCTAAGTAAATTATTATATTGAAGTACACTGGAGGGAGGCATATATGTTGTAAGGGTTCCTTGGTCTTTCTCCTCTTTGAAATGTAGAAGCACTCTAACAGAGCTCAGTCCCTTCTTACTATAAAGTAAGTTGACATTTCAACAGCTGAGGAAGGTTAAAATTACAATTTGTTTTCATGGCGAAGCACTAGGATGTTTATATAACAAAAATAATAGCTCGTAGCAGTAGATATGGAATGAGTTGCATCATCGAAGTAGGTGGCATAATCTAACCATCACTTTGACCCATTTGAAGCAAGGAAAATGTTTATGTCGCTGCAGAGAGCATTTATATTTGTTGTTTCAAGTTTTGTTTTTGGTGCAGTTACTTACATACCAACCAATTTCTATGTATTTACATATCTAACACTGAACATTGTTTTTTTAATATTTATAGCACCCAAATTTTCCATATAACATCAAAATTAAAAAAATTTCACTTTCATAAAAGTGAAATACACCTATTCATGCATAGGAAATGTGTAAGTGAAATACCCTTTTCATGTATGTAAAAATTGAAGTTTAGGTGTTTGATAAGTAAACCCATAAGAATTGAGTGGTATGTACGTAAATCTTCTTCTTTTCCCCTTTGACGTGATGGATTATTGTGGATTCCAGTGTTGATTAGCTGTGGGATTTGGAATTGTTTGGACTTGGATTGGCGTGGTATTAAGGGTTATGTGCTTGTGGTTTGATGGAGATTTGAAGAGTTGCATGGGAGCTTTTTATTGTTCACAATGGAGGAGCAATATGATTCTCACAACATGGATTTCGTAATAATAGAAGTGCAATTCTTAGATTTTAATTTGGGAGACTTGAGGTTACTAATGAAATAAGGGACTTTATTGATGCTCGAAAATGTTGCAAAGTAATTGTTTAACATATAAGTATGCATGTCGATCAAGTATTATATGGAATTAGAGTCCGCGTATCGATTCCACGAGAAAATTTGTCAACTTTTCTAGTAAGCAAAATTTTAGTTTACTACATTGCTAAGTTTAGTTTGAAGGGTTCAGATGTGCTGAGAGTGAAATGTTCTAAAATCCTAATTCAGAAAATAGAACTAAGTATTGTTGGAGTTTCTCAAAGGTGAGTCTCTCGAGACATCAATCTAGTGAATCCTCAAAATCTTTCCTATGAGTTCTCAATGTTGTTGTTGACAATCAAAGACAAGTCCTCCATAACCTATGTCTAGGTCATAAAAAACATTAAAAATTCTTATTAAAGTTAAGGGGGCTTAACAATGCAAGATTTCTCAGAAATCTTCTAGTCTCATATCTAGGTTACAATTCCCTACTAACAATATATCTATTTCACTAGGTGAACGTGTATTAACCTACTTGTTATTCTAGTCAATGGTTAAGTCCTAGATCACAAGAAATTTTAACTTCCTAATTGACTAAATTATGAGTAAACTACGACCAGAAGGTTTAACAAATCAATGTATAAAATCCAGAACATAGAAAAAATGTCTAGAGAAAAACTCAATGATAAAACAACGAAAAAGTTACATGTCTTACATCACAGGAACATGAAGAAGATTTAGCTACTATGCATGCAGAAAGAAAGCACAGATTTTTATTGAAAGCATTAAAAAAATAGTGTTATAAGTAACAAAAATTTTAAACCCGAGTCAATCGTATATGAGGAGCATGCAAATCAGTTTGGTGATCATCAGACACCGTTTTGATGTAAAATTTTGCATTTTCGGTTTTCATGCATGATCTATGATCCAGTGTAGAAATTTTTCAACGAATCATTATTTTTTAAAGCAAACTACGTGAGTGCATCTAGATCCTCAAAACCTTTCAAATTGATCCTCAAATCTCAAATCAAACTTCTTTTGGGGGTCGTTAAGCCTACTACAATTTTGAAAATAATTTCGATAATAAAAAGAATAATTCTAATAGTTCATCCAAAATGAATTCAAATTAAAATCAAACTTCAACTCACATGATATGAGCTAAAAAGATTTATTTTGTCTATTAAAATCCACTATAAACTTTCATTAAAAATCCACCAAATTTTCTGTCTCATAGGATGAAGCATACGCTTTGACTTGAAATATCTTGAGCTAGGGCCCAGTCTAACCAAAATCTATTGCACGACTAAATCCCTTGCATTTTTTTCTACCAAATGGGTCAAGATTGGTGATAATTTGGGGAATGAGACTTTTTTCTCTTACGTAGGGGTATCTTCTAAGAGTTCTTGAAATGTTGATTGATTTGGCCATCATGAAGAGCATGTATTCTTACTAATATGATTACGAGAGATGAGAAAGATGAAGAAAATGACTAAATAAAGCTTAGTAGTGTATGCGTGCACTCATCTGACTTGGATAGTCTTTGTGCAAATGGAATTTATGTTTCTTTTTTTAAATTGGAGATAAGTTTGATGCATTAAATTTTAATGTTGAAATTAGACTCGTCATATGTTTTTTCATTGTAGGTTGAATTGTGCAATTGCACATCTTATATTTACGTTCCTTGCTGAGATGAACATTAATCATAACCGAGTGATTGTCACACCCATGGCAATAATCATCAAAGCATCCAAATTCAAAATTTTCACATAAATTTGTCTACTAATAATTAAAATAAAATACATAATTGAATCAAATTAAATGGTCATAATCATAACTATCCTCAATGCTACACCTGAAGCACGAGTATAAAAAGCTCACGTACAATGCCTATCTGAAATTCATAAAATTAACCTGCAAGTTTGCTATAAATAAACTCAGTAGGTGAAATCTTATTGAACAAAATATCAACAACAGGGCAAGCGCATAATACGAGCAAATAAATAGACATGAATAAAATATTTGTTATATTATAACAGTTTCAAATAATATGCAATAGATTAGATTTTTCTCATTTAAATTGAGCTATTGATGCTCAACAAATAATAGAAAGAAAGAAATCTATATAAACAAAATCATTGTGTTCGCATGCTAACATTTTGACTCATGCATCTCATAAGTTCTATAAATGGTTCTTTAATCATATATTAATCTATTATATATATATATATATATGGGATATATATATATACATATATATACCTGTGTATATATAGGTATATATACCTATACATATATATACCTATATAGTTGGTTTACTATAATACCCTAAAATCGAGAACATAGTCACCGATTCTAGGAAAATTCAATAATTTTTTTTGTAGAGTTGTCACTTTGTTTACTCATTGGTTTGTCTGGCTAACATTAAAAAAGACGTAACTCCAACATACATATTATTATAATAATCATCCACATTTCATACATTACAGGCAAAACATTTTTTTAAGTATTATTAGTAATGAATCATTGTTATGTATATCTAAAACATAAATTTGCAGAAATAAAAGTTTGTGTTTAACATGAGTAATGTAATGTTAAATATTATAGCTACTCTGAACAATTGTATGTATAAATGTTTGTGCCACAATGAATTAAAGATAAGATTAACAATCATATCATATCGACATGATAATGTAAAATACAATGGCTAATAAATACATTCCATATAAATTTTTAAGTAGTAAATTCACACCGAGAAGTAGCAAGGAATATGCCTCTAAGGCCCTAAGAAGGATGGGTACGTTTATCTCTTACTTAGGAAGGTAACCTACCAATAAAAATCATCAACAACCAAGCATTCCAATGATGACATGGATCTCATCGCTTTGAGGCACGGTTCTCTATGAATCCTATATACAAAACGATCTAAATAAATCACTCATTCAAGGCATTATACATCAAACCATTTAGTCATTACAATGATCAATTGAACAAATTTTTTAATCAACGATATCTATGATTTCCTCTAATCTATACCTTAATAATTGCTCTTAAAAGATCATGAATTATTTAACAATATCTATGATTTACATATATATTATTTATTCAACATAAAACAAATTATTACACTTAAAGATCAATTGAATAAAATATTGCAATCAATGATATCTATGATTTTCTCTAATTTATACTAATAATGGATATTAAAAACTTTAGTATCCACCTATATTTACAAATTATTTTATCTAAAGAAATTTATAAATAATTTTTTTTTGAAATAGAATGTCATTAATCACAAATTATAACATTAATTGAAACATATATGTATAATCCTCAGTATACTATAAATTTCTCTTGTATATATACTTTTCAATGAAATTACACCTTTAAATTATCAACTAATAATAATAATAATAATTTTTATAAGTTTTAAAATTATTAGATGTTAGAAGTTGTATTAGAAAATAATTTATTCATGTTAGAAGTTATGAGGATTAAATTTATTTCCTTAGATCAGAGTTATTTCCTTTAATATTTTATGTTTTATGTTTTTTTTAATTTCCAAATAATTATTATAAATTGATTAATTGGAGATATTAAGTTTTATATTTTTACTTTCCTGTTATTTTTTTTCCAGCTTTCCTATTCTAGGATTCATATAAGGGTATTTATAGCTCCTTTTCATATCAATAATACAGATTCAGATTACTCTGAATTTCAGCATGGTATCAGTGTCAAATTTCATATCCTAGCCACCATCCTCCTTTCATGGTCGTTGCCTAACTCCCTTTCTGCCATCCTCCATGCAGGAAAGGAGTGACTCTCTGCCAAACCTTCTTTGGGAAGCTAGCTATAAGCATCGGAGTCCTTCCCAGGTTCTCCTTGCAGGCACGAGAGTCTTGTTCTTACAGGTTCTCGCCGCAGGAACTGACCGCCAGAGCAGGTCCTCCGTAGCAGCGTTGTCTCCTCTTCTTTGCTGCGAGTAGGCACGATTCCCCGCGCAGGAGAGCGATTTTCTCCCTTCAATGGAAATCACGACGTTCAAATCTAGACATTGGAACAAGTGGTTTTCTCTTTCTGGTGGAAATCACAGTTCTCTGCCTTTCAACAGAACCACACAGAGGCGAGGAGCCATTTTCCCCGCCGGCTTCCCTGCAAGCTCTTCCATGGTCGTTTTCCCTGCAGGTTTCAGTCGGCGATACTTTCTGCGGGATCTTCTAGTCGCCGGACCTCTCGATCTCATTCTAGGACCGCCGAAGCACCTACCTACAGTTGTACATATCTCCTGCAGGCTTTCTCGCCACTAGAACCCCTTCTTGTAGCCTTTGTTGTCAGCGAAACTCCCTCCTGCAGCCTTTTCTGTCGCTGGAACTTCCTACAGACCTACCTGCTGTCAGCTGGACCTCCTACCAGGATCTCTAGACTTACTCCTACGACCGGTTCTCTCCCTTGCAGCCTTTCCCACTACCAGGCTTCCCTCCTGCAGGTTTTCCCATTGCCGGATCTACCTCTACAGATTTTCCCCTGCAGATTTTAGACAGCTGGACCACTTCCTTATAGATCTTTAACAGCTGAAAATCATCTCTGTCGGCTGGAAAGCTTCCCTCCATACCTTATCAACACCTTCCTCTTGGTCGCAAATTCCTGCCAACTGCACATTCATGCAGTCGCCTTTGTGGCATCCGCTGCCATTTCACATGCATGGATTGTGGAAACGAAGAGAAGCTTGTTACAGAGGAGTTCATCTTTGTTTTGTTTTCAAAATAACTTGAGAAAGTTTATTACAGAAGTGAGACTGGATTTATCCTTGAATGGAATCCCTGTAGCCGCCCTACTCCATCAGTTTCTTCTCCGTTGTCCAAAAACTCAAAGCAAGTCCTTCTCTGTTTCTTCTCTAGAGCTTTTTCCTGCATCAAACACTTCTTCGGAACTTTTTTCTATATCAAACCCTTCTTCGGAGCTTTTCTTGTAGTAGGTCCTCCATCGAAATTTTTCTTGCAGTAGGCCCTCTTCCGGAGCCTTTTTCTGCATCAGTCCCTCTGGAGCTTTTTCTTGTATCGGGCCCTTCTCCGGAGCTTTCATGTATCAGGCCCTCCGGATTTTTTTCTGCAGTAAGCCCTCCACCGGAATTATTCAGGCATCAGACCTCCTCCGTAGTCTTTTCTTGCAGCAGTTCATCCTCTGGAATTCTTCTCGCAGCAGACCCTTCTCTGGAGCCCTTTCCTACAACAAGGCCTACATCAGGAACTTTTCTTTTTTTTCTGTAAACCATACCCTACAGCTTTTCTTGTTGGTTGTTTGTTTCTTTGCAAACTTCTCCGTAATATTGCCTAGTCTACCAACAGACACTATAAAAACTGCAGTCAAAGACAACCATAGTCAACTAAATAATCTTGGGGTTGATTACCAAGTATAGGATGAAGATATCAAGTTATACATCATGAAGAATCCTTCTCGCCCGTTGTTTGATGTTTTCAAATCCAAATTGAACATGTTTTTCAATCACGTTTCAACTTGAAGGGGAGTGTTAGAAGTTATATTATGAAATAATTTATTTTTGTTAGGAGTTATGAAGATAAAATTTATTACCTTATATTAGAGTTATTTTCTTTCCTATTTTATGTTTTATGTTGTTTCTTTTATCTCCAAATAATTATTATGAATTGGTTAATTGAAGATATTAGGTGTTATATCTTTTCTTTCATATTATTTCTTTTTTCTGTCTTTCTTATTATAGGATTCATGTAAGGGTTATTTATAACCCTTATTCATATTGATAATACAATTCTGCATTATTCTAAATTTCAACATTACACATTAAAGATTAATTTAAATTTAATTTATTTTCAAAGATGCTTCCAAGCCTCAATTGATTCTTCATGTAAATAATTGCATAATCACATGGAAGCATACATCTATATAGCTAGGGTAAATTTTAGGTGTGAAAACCTTTCTTTAGCGGCTCCGTCGGACAGGCTTGCCAAGTCATGGGGGCCAACCAACTGCCGATTACCTGACCTACAGTTCTCCACGCTAGCAGTTGCAAGCTTCGATCTACCCCGAGTCATGGAAGAGGAAGGTTATCCATGTATATGCTTGCCATTGTCCCCTTGATTTTTGTCACCTGCTCGTCCGCAGCCTCTTATGTTTGCCCTATTCAGGATTTAAAAAGCTGAGAGAAGCTTCGAGCCAGTTTGGTTCAGAAAGGGGTATTACAAGTCATCACAACAATAACTTAAAATGTTCTTTACGTTATTGTTTTTGGTAATAGTGTCGGATACTTGCTCAATTTATGTTATTGCTATTGTTGTGAACTTTCCTTATAGCCTCATTGATGTGAATAGATTTTATACAGCTAAAATGATACCAGTGTTTGAATGGCTGAGAATTGTACCAGTTGAACAAAATCCTAAATTATACCTAATTTATTTTTGTTCCTTTTTGGCTGTAAATGTTGCAGTATATTGTGTCGTTGCAAAAGAAACTGTTCCAAAACATGTCTCAATGGCCCTTTTGGAACGAGTGAAGGCAGACTTCAAAAAGCGATATGGTGGCGGTAAAGCTGATACAGCAATTGCAAAAAGTCTGAATAAAGAATTTGGGTAAGATTGTTTTCATACTCTTCTCTGAGGCACTTCATGAGCCGTCTATGTTATTATTGGGAAATTTACTTGCATACCACACAATTCTTATATATTAACATATCTAACGGCCAAACTTCATAATTACATACATGTTTCTCAAGTGGCATTACATCAAAAGTATCACTATCATTGACTTTTAGAAGTTAAATACACATTTTCATTCACAAGTTTAACACCAAAGTGTTAAAAAATGTAAACACCAAATTGTTACAAATGTAAACACCAAAGTGTTACAAATGTAAATATCAAATTTTAGGTGTTAGATATGTAAATGCGTGTTAGATATGTTATCAAATTTTAGGTGTTAGATATGTAAATGCATAAGAATTGTGTGGTATGTAAGTATCGTTGACTTTTTAAAAGTTAAATACACATTTTCATTAACAAGTTTAACACCAAAGTGTTACAAATGTAAATATCGAATTTTTGGTGTTAGATATGTAAATGCATAAGAATTGTGTGGTATGTATTTAAATTTCCCTTTATTTTATTGACAACAATAATGTGAACTTAACATGCAGATCAGTGATAAAGGAGCACATGTTGTATACCATTGAGCATGCTGATGAAATAGAAAAGATTCTAAAAGTGAAGGCTCAAATTTCTGAAATCAAAAGCATTATGTTTGACAATATAGAAAAGGTATTCAACATGGTTTGAACTACTTATCCTTGGCCTTTCTGAACCAAAACAATCAAGCAAACAATTTTTAAGTCAAAGTACTGTGGAAACCTATATTTTCTTTATGAATTTTGATATAATTTTTTTCACACTTTGGTTTTGGAGGGCATTACACTCTGGTAATATAGGGCATGATGAAATGATTTAAACATATTTTGTATTCTCAAATAAATAGATTGTATGCAAGCAATAATGAAATAAACAAAAAAAGAAATTTCATGTCATTCCATTAATAAGTTTGATAATTGATACAACTAAAAGGAAAACAAGGAACAAACGGAAAAATAAGAAGTTGAAATGATAATGCGGAAATAATAACCCAAACCCAACAGAAATTACAATAATGGATGCAAATAGTGAAATAAAAAAAAATGATAATAATAATTACAAAGCTCAAAGGTTACTCTTGTGGCGATGATCTACCAAGTCGTTGAGTGAAATTTGATATACAAAAATATCAAGGAGTGAGTCTTACAAATTAAACTCAATAAATAGCTACTGTTTATTAAACCATAAACGTCAAAGAAAATGGGACATGCAGTATAAATAATAAAAAAAGACAATTTATTATATACATAACAGATTTTGCAAAGAAAATGTTATAATAGATTTTGCAAAGAAATATGTATGTATATATATATATATATATATATATATATATATATGGTTTTTTATGACACTCTGAAACAAATAAATCTAGGCACAAATCCCAATAATTTATCTGAGGACTAGTTGATCCGGCTAGCCTCAATAAAGGTTTAATACTAATATAATAATATTACAATATTGTGCATACATTACACATCACAATCAAATTAGGGGAGTATAATTACAATATGTTCAATAATATTTATACACAAGTATGAGTTTGTCATAACGAGATTTAACGTATCAAAACTATAAAAAAACAATAAATACTGAAAATGCAAGACATGAGTAATTTAATAGGATTTTATGCAGCGATAAAGCAAGACTGATTACTTATGCAATTCATCATGAATAATAAATATAATCCACTGGAATTATATTATTAAAATTTAAATGAGATTTAACATATCATTTAACATATCAAAACTATACAAAAAAATAATAAATACTGGAAACATAGTACATGAGTAATTTAATAGGAGTTTATGCAGCAATAAAGCAAGACTGAGTGCTTATACAATCATTATGAATAATAAAAGAAACCTACTGCAATTTTATTAATAGAATTTAAATGGTATGACTGAAAAACCAACAATTAGTTAAGAACTTAATACAAGTAGCAAGGATAACACCCATAATAATGAATGATACATTTATGCCCTAATAAATAATAATTACTTATCTCGAGACATACAACAAAAAATTTCTAATCTATTTAAGCATCACTTTAAGACGTCAACAAAAACTTGCTTAAACGTTCTGCACCCAAAATACATTCGTTATAATGACACATTAGTTATTATTATTATTATTATTACACGTTCGCGCGCGCGCGCACGCTTGCCCGCCCGACCGCACGCACGCATATATAGATAGATAGATAGATAGATAGATAGATAATCATTATGATTTTGAAAGAAGTAACAACTTAATCAAAATTATCCTTAATATAATTTATCTTAAATGCCAAAAATTAAATAAAGAAATAAAGTATAAACTTGATTGGGGGAAGGGATCGATGAGGGAAGCTTAACTGTTGAGGGGGAACAGAAAATTGGGAGGGAGTACGAGAGAGAGAGAAAGAGAGGGCTTCGGCAGCTGTAAGAAAGGATGCTTCTCACTGTGGGTGAGGGCAAGTGATGCCATAAGCGGGATAGTTAATAAATAGAGGAGGAAGGTAGTGGGCAAACAAGGGAAGGAGATCAGGAAGACAGTGGGGAAGAATATGAATGTCGAGCGAATCTCCCAATCGGGAAGTTGGTCCATCAAGATCGTGTGATTCGCGCAATTGAAGGAGGAATAGCTTCACACAATTTAGTAGAAGAAAAGGTAAGCTTCAGTTATTACAGTTTCAGTATTTAGGTTTGGAATAATTTGCCGTGCTGCTCTACAAATGGACTCTAGTTCCAACCTGAATTTTATTTAATGTCATTATTGTCATCATTAGCTTTATCATAATTATTTGGGGTAGGTTTATGAAACCTTTTTTTTCATTTGGCCCTATTGTGTACTGCATGATGTGCTTAGCTTATTCGAACAAAACTTTTTTATAGCTTTTATTTATGTTTGCTTAGCTTTACTACCTGTCTAATTAGTGTATTGTCTACTTGACCTTCTTGCATGTTCAAAACATTCGGTCTATCTCAAACTAATTTATCTCAAATAACTGTCATTGTACCGATTCTTTTGATATAACTAATTTTAAATTTTCCTTCCAATTTTTTCTGCACATTTATCTTAATATTCTAATATTTTTTTCTTGCTTGATTTATTTGTAAATGACTTTATACTTCCCAAGAGTCTAAGCTGCCTAATTATAATTTTATTCTATTTACCTGTTCTAAATGCAATTATCTCATTTATATCTCAATTCTATTGCATAATAAATCCAAAATACTTGAATATTTACTTTGGAATTGTAATTTTTGTTTCTATCAGTATTTATTTTGATCACGTAATCACAATTCTAAATGTAATTATCTCATTCATATCTCCATTCTGTTAAATAATTAATCCAAAATACTCGAATCTATTTACTTTTGAATTGTAATTGTTGTTTCTATTATTCGATTTATTAGTTTCAAGTTAATATTGAACCTCATAAATTTTTTTCTTTTTTTTCATAAGATGAAACTCAGAAAGATTTGAAAGTGTTGCATAGATGTTTGTATTAACTTCATGTGTAAAATAGGCAGAACCAGAATATAAAGTTTCTGCCACTGCTAAGTTAAGAGAGGCAATACATGCCATCTCAAACTTGCATAGTTGGCTAGGCTGTTTCTTTGAGTTACTGTTGGAATGGCTATGTTATAGTTCATAACATTTGTCAAAGTCATTGTTGGCCTAGATGATTTATAAATATATGAATGACGCTAGATTGTAGTCAATGGAATATAATATTTTTCAAGAAAAAAATTTCAAAATGGTCATTTGAGTTTTTTGTCGGAGGTCTTTTTTAATCTCAGAATCTACAGAAGTTTCAAACTAGTCCCCATACTCTTTTAAATGTGGCTAAAATACTCCGCCACCGGGACTATTTCAACACATATCAAGAGTGAGGATTAATTTGATATTTTTATAGACTATGAGACTAAAATTGACCACTTGTAAATAAACGGGACTATTTTGGCACTTCACTCAGAATTTTTCACTTACTCTTAGGTTCTTCATTACATTATATATTAAGTTTCAAAGAGTTAAATGTATAAAGTCAAAATTAATGGACATGATCAATCATTTTGGCGAAATGTTCCTATTACATCATCACGATTGATATTAAACATAGGTTTAAACAGCAATATTCATCATTTGGTATGTATAGGAATCAATGATCAATTGTTGACCTCAATACATGTGTTGCAAAGTTGACATGAACCATGATGTAATTTGGTTGGCTTAGGCCGCCAACTTTCCAAGGGAGTTAATAATTCTAGATTTATGTCACAACTTCTATCGAAGCCCCTTGTTTTGGTCGAAGGACAAAATGAGTCAAAATCCATTCAAGAAAGGTGAAAAGAAATTTGGGCACATAACACACAAGCATGCACTCACCAACATGCACATCCGCATGCACATGCGTGCATAAGCTCATTTTTCATCACAAACATAATAATAATAAGGAAGATTTACATATATACCACTAAATTTGTATGTATATCTAACACCTAAACTTCAATTTTTACATGCATACGAACTTACTTATGCATGAAAAGGTGTATTAGACTTTTTTTTTTAAGTTAAAATGGTGGTATTTTTTGTGATATGAAAGATTTTGGTATTATAAATATAAAAAATAAAATTTAGTTGTTAAATATGTAAATAGATAGGGACTGAGTTGTATTGATGTAAATGCCCATAATAATAATAATAATAATAATAGCTAAAAGTGATTATTCTATAATTAGTATTGATGTGTCATTAACAATTTTTTATCAAATAAGAATCAAGATGCATTTTCTTTATAAGGAATCTTTCAATTTCAAAATCAAATTCAATATCATATGGGCCCCAATTTTAGCAAGTTTATATTCAAATTGATCATCTCTACAAGATCAACCCAATAATACCATAATTGGTTTCAATCTAATTCTAATCAGGCTTAGATTAAACAATTGAAGCACAATTAAAGATTTTGGATGACCAAATAAACTCCAAATTTGACATATTTATAGTCAAATCGAGCGTCTTGATGAGAAGAATGCAACGAGAATAAGGTCGCTCAAATCCGATGTCATTAAGGCATCCAAAACCTTAAAAACCACCTATGATCAAGGGGAATCAATATGAATCATTCAATCTGGTGGTGAGTGATGTTATGTGCTAAAAGACCAAGATGTCTATTTCCTAAAGGCTATAAAAAGACCCACTTTCTTTACTTGAGGGAGAAGATGAAGAGGAATTCTAGAGTCTGTTCTGGAGAGAAGACCCGATGATAACCACCAGCTTCCGTAGTCACTGACCATCATCTATCATCACCTGTTATCATTGTCGACTACTACCGGCCATCACCACCTCGCCGTCACCGGTCGCCGGTGACCTCCGTTTGCACCCATTGTATTCCAAATATGGTTCTTGTGTCTTAACACTTGCATTGAAGACCCGGTGATAACCACCGGGTTCTGTAATCACCGACCACCACCCGTCGGTCACTGCCAGCCGTCATCGCCTACCGTTGCCAACCACTGATCGTCGGCAACTTTTGTCTGCAACCATTTCTTCTAAATACTGTTGTTGCATCTACCACTCATATTGAAGACTCGGTGAATAATCATTAGCCTCTGTAATCGCTGGCCACTTTTGGCCATTGTTAACCATCACCGACTGTCGAAGTCTTTTGCTAACGACCACCGGCCTCCAACGACTTATGCTTTTAGCTGTTGTAGTCCAACTACGACCTTTATGACCAAAAACTGCTTTTGTAACAACCAATTATGACTTCTATGACTTAACTACTACTTTTACAATTTTCAACTATAACTTTTTGGTCAACTGCCGCTATTAAAATCATCAACTATAACTTTTATGACCAACTACTACCTTTGTAGCATCCAACTACGATCTTTGTGGCAAAATACTACTGTTACAGTTTAAAACTGTTGCTATTGAAGTCGTCGACTATAATTTTTATGGCCAACTACTATCTTTGTAACAATCAATTACGACATTTGTGACAAACTACTATTGTTGCAGTTTTCAACTACAACCTTTGTGGCCAATTGCCACTATTGCAACCATCGACTACAACCTTTATGACCAACTACTGCATTTGTAGCACCCAATTATGATTTTTGAAGTTAACTACTGCTATTACAGTTTTCAACTATAGTCTCTATGGCCAACCGCCACTATTGTAGCTACCGAATATAGTCATTATAATCAACTATTACATTTGTAGCATCCAACTACGTCCTTTGTAGCCAATTACTATTGTTATGGTTTCCAATCACGGTCTCTGTGCCCTAGTGCCGCTTTTGCAGCCACTGACTACAGCCTTTATGTCCAACCGCTGCCTTTGTAGTAACTAACTACGACCTTTGTGGTTAACTATTATTATTACAACCAATGATAAATCTGTTATAGCTTAATTATGTTTATTATAGTTAAATTATTATTGTACATCTATGATTAACCTCGTCTAATTTGGAAGAATGTTGGATCTGTAAACTTACAATTGCATAGTGAATTACTTTAACCGGGATAGACCCTATAATTTTTTTTCTTTTTCATAATTTTTCCTCTTAAAAATATTGGTATCTCCTCCCGTCGCTTTATTTTTATTTGTATACAGGATCTTTGTGCAATGCTTAGACTTTAAATAATAACTCTACCATCACAAAATTTCCAACACGCAACAGTTATTAGAAAAAATGTTACATCAGTACTACGCACCTAGAGTAACATGCGTAGCCAATGAAATAAAACCACGACACCCTGCGCGACAGTGAAAAAAAAACGACGCAGTAACACAGAGAATATTTCCCTCCGTGTTATTCATGTGTTATTGTGTATTATTCATGTGTTATTATGTCCTAGGAATATTCTTGGTGTTATAATAACACAATAACACATCAATAACACATGAATAACACACAATAACACTTAAATAACACGGAGAATATTCTTCCCCATGTTATTCATGTGTTATTGTGTGTTATTCATGTGTTATTGATGTGTTATTGTGTTATTATAACACCAAGAATATTCCTAGGACATAATAACACATGATACATGAATAACACGCAATAACATATGAATAACACGCAATAACACATGAATAACACGGGGGGAATATTCCCCGTGTTACTGTGCCATTTTTTTTCTCCTGTCGCGCGTGCCGTGATTTTATTGGCTAAGCACGGTATTTCTAAGTGCGTAGTACTGATGTAATATTTTTTCCAATTATTATTATTCATATTATTGATTTTTAGTAGGTCAAATATGAATCGGTTCCTAGGCTTAACGTGACAGCAATAAAATTATTAAATATATCATTTATATGTCTAATGTAAGGTGCATATATTTTCATATCTTGATTGAATTTGAAGAGAATTTGTTATGTATTTCATTCCATCTTTTGCGCTGAAATACAATTCTAGGAACATTTCTAGTAGGACAAGTCTAAATCTAATAGAAAAGGAGCTTCATTTTGAATTCCACCAGAACTGCACCAACATATTTCGATTGTCTAAGCTTTGGATGCTCTTTTATACTTGCGTATACAATAACGTCTTATATTTTATCTTGAAAATTTAAATTTAGTTGACATGGAGCTTTTACTCAAAAATTAATGAGCTTACCTTAACAAAAAGACAATATAGTTTGGAGAGGAATTGGAGTATATAGTTCTTAAGGCACATATCTTTAATTTTAGTATCAAAATAGATGGTTCGAAGATATGTTTTAGAAATATCTAATAACTGACTTTTATCAAAGTTGAGCTTTTGAGTTGTAAATGGGTTGACCATCATTGTTTCTAAGTTCAACAATTAGGTCCCCTTTGGCTCACACTTCCTAACAAGTAGTATCAGAGTTGATGGTTTGTCTCGAGTCTATCATTGAAAGGACTCTTCAAGCATGATACTTAATAAAAGCTTATGTTTGAAAGGGAGTGATGGCCGATATGGTGAGCTTTTACATTAGGTGGAGATTGTGAAGGCGTGTGAAGCTTTGTTTTTAGTCTACCATTGAGTAGCTAAAAAACGTAGCAGTGTAGAAATACTAAGTGATTTTCCTTCACCCATAAACTTAAGATTTTGGGTGGAAAAAATTTTTATCACTGAAACATTTTGCCAAACATCCGTCTCCCTTTCATTTTTACTTCCTAACAAGATGTTCTTCTGTCTAATTGATTTGTTGTTTTTGAATTTCAAACTCATAAATTTATAATGTTCAATAAAAACAAGCCCTTTTCATTGCTCCAAGACCACCGGCTAAATGGCAAGCTTACAATGTTTGCATCAATTTGTTTTTGTGTTAGCTTTTTTTTTCTCCCTTATAGCCATCATTATTTGAAGGATTTTATGGATTTAGAATGTGATCATTGGCATATTCTTCTACAAGAAAATTATTTTTAAGAAATTTTATGAATTGAAATCCCAGTAAAGAAAATCATTATGAAATTGTTTATAGTAGATATTTTATGCGCGCTGCTTCTTTCAGGCTATTGATCGCGGTGAAAAACTCAACGAACTAGCCGACAAGACGACCGATTTGCATTCGCAGGCACAACACTCTACCCCAACTATCCTCTTGCATTTACCTCTTACAGCCTCAATAGAATGAAATATATAACCATATGCGCATGTATATATATATATATATTGCAGTAACGGCACCAATCACCAAAATTGACTCTCCATTTTATAACAAATTTCAGGCTCAAGATTTCAGAAAACAGGGGACAAAAATACGGAAGAAGATGTGGCTTCATAACATGAAGATTAAGTTGGTGATCCTTGGAATTCTTCTGCTGCTTGTACTCATTATCTGGGTTTCCATTTGTCAAGGATTCAATTGCACAAAGCAGGAGGATGAAAATGCAAATATAGAACCATAGTCCCTGCCAGAAGACAGGTATACAAATTTAAATGCATGTGTATATCAGAGAACAAAGACAATAACTACTGCTTCTAGTACTGTTTTATTTATTTTTAGATGCAAACTTTTAGCCACAGAGATACAAATTTTAGCTTTGGATTTGATATACTGATTAGTGACCTTTTTATTACTAGCTGATTGATGAAGCATTTTTATTTGAAAGATCAAAACTGAACTTTTGGTAGGTTTCTGATTGATTCTGATTATATTTTAGTAACATTTCCTGTGTTTTACACTATTCCCATGCATTTACATATCTTCATGTTTTATGAAGACTTTTTACCTAAAGTTGCCACCTTACATTTGCATGAAAAGATGTATTTCATTTTGTAAAACTTTATTATAAATGTTAATGATAAAGTTTAGATGTTAGATATGTAAATGCATAGGAATTGGGTGGTATGCATGTAAATACCTTTTTTTTTTTCATTTGAAGTTGGCCAAATGTATTTGCTAGGCTCATAAATTGATCGATTATTTATTTGGAAGAAAAATTGTGCTGCCATTTTTTTATGTTTGAAAGACACCGAGTTTGCTTCGAGATTTGTGCTATGTAAAATATTATTGAAAGTATTAAAAATAGATGTCTACATTTGGGGTCTGCATTATTTAATAATAATAATAATAATAATAAATTGTACTGAATAAATTTAGGATTCATTTGGGGCAGCTTATAACCGTATCGTTTGGTTTGCGGTTTCGTCAGCTTATTTGAAACTGTGTTTGTGTATTTATACTAAACGCAACCTGCGGGTCGATTCCTGCGACCGGCCCGCTGGCCGCGTTTCAGGATAAGCAGCTTATCCTGATCCTGAAATTATCCTGAAATGCACAAGCTGCCCCAAACAGACCCTTAGTTGATTCAATTTAATTTTTAAAACATATTTCAATTTTTTTTTATTTAAAATGTCAATATTCAGTTTTTTTATTATTGTTTTGTTTTGATTTTTATTTGATTACAAATTCAGTTAAAACAATTTTAGTATGCTCATAATCAAACTATTTAAAAAGATTTTATTTTAATGAGAGTGTTTAGGAGCAGAAAAAATTATTGGGGAAGACAAATTATTTATTTATTTATTTTATAATTCATGAAGAGAAAATTTAAATTAAAAAATAAGCAAATATTAACTTAAAATAGTATTTTAATGAGAGCATGCATGATATTTTTTATTTATTTAAACTGTCCATAATAATTTTTTGGGCCTCCCAATTCCTATGTATTTACATATATAAACACCTAAACTTTATTTTTTGCACTTCTACCACCCAAATTTCTGTCACAAAAAAAAAAATATCACTATTGTGAAAAAATATTGCATCAATACTACGCACGTAGAAGTAACGTGCGTAACCAATGAAATCACGCCAGGACACCCACGCGACAGGGAAAAAATAACAGCACAGTAACAAGGGAAATATTTCCTCCTGTGTTATTCATGTGTTATTGTGTTATTCATGTGTTATTGATGTATTATTGTGTTATTATAACTCCAAGAATATTCTGAGGACACAATAATACATGAATAACACACAATAACACGGAAAATATTCCTGACAGGAAAAAAAAACAGCGCAGTAACACGAGCGAATATTCTTCACCGTGTTATTCATGTGTTAATGTGTTATTCATGTATTATTGTGTCCTGAGAATATTCTTGGTGTTATAATAACACAATAACACATGAATAACACAGGAGGGAATATTTCCCGTGTTACAGCGATGTTTTTTTTTTTCTCTGTCGCGCGGGGTGTCGTAACGTGATTTCATTGAATACGCACGTTACTTCTACATGCGTAATACTGATGTAATATTTTTTTCACTATTGTAACGTCTTAAAATTGAAATACACCTCATGCAGAGGTAAATTGGCTTATACGTAAAAATTGAAGTTCATGTACAACATATATAAACACATAAGAATTAAGTGGTATGTATGTAAATCTTCCTAATATTTTATAAAAAAAAATTTTGCGTCACAATGCCTTAAAATTATAGCTTCATTAATTATCTGCAATAAAGAAATATCATAAATTTGCCACCCAGCAAATAGTTCAAATTTTAATATTAAACCTTTAAATAACTATAATAGTAGATGAATAATTCAAATAGACAATTTAAGATATTAAATGTCACATAAGTCCATTTATGTTGTTAAATGTCTGGTGATAACTATGCTATAAGAATCAATAGATAAGGATATAATTTTGTTTGAGACATCAACTAACATTGGTTTGGCTATGAAATCTGAATTCAGTAGTAATTAAACACCAGATGTTGTCAAGAAACTGTTGTTAGTGATAACACAAGTTCATATACTAATAAACTTTAGCCCTATGATAAAAATTAAATATTTTTGGTAAGAAACTGTTGTTAGTGATAAACCGTTTTCCCCTTTTCTTGGTGCTTGTCCACTCCGGTTTCGATTGGCACTTGATGCTGCATTTTCGGCATCATAGTGTCAAAATCATGGGATCGGGCTGACGACTCTGAGTGGGCTTTGCTTTCACTTGGAACAAAGTCGTCACGTCAGTCTTGGTGTCATGATGTCGGCCCCTACATTTTGGTCCAGTGTCACGTCTCCTGTGGACGAGAACACAACACTATGATATCCTCCCGAGTTGGAATGTCGATCTAGGGCATTTCAACATCGAGTGTTGCTCGGACATTTGTTCTTACTTCGTCGCGACGTGTAATTGATACCAAACACATTGTGCTCGATGCAGTGAATACATGTCACCGGTCTATTAGTCAGCACCAATTTTCATTGGAATGGAGTTATCTCCTGGCTTTTGGAAGTTGGGAAACACGATAAATCTCCCTTCTGGTTCGGTACAACCTTCTGTATGGGTTGTGGCCTGCTTTGGCTTGTTCAGTCATTTCTTTCGACCGAGTCTGGTTATCCCAAATAGGAGGGTCTTTCATCATTATAAATGGTTGGCCAATTGACTCACCCTCTTAAATCGTTGGTACATCCTTCCACGTGGGTGATAGTTCTACTTAGCCCGAATGACTGCTAGGCTTACATTTCTTCCGTCATTCGTCAATGTGATCTTCTGTAAGCTCATTCACTTCCATTTTTTACCTTCTATAAATTTCCTGGTGAGGAATGGAAGAAAGTGTTGAAGTCCCACAACAACTTAAGAGTGCAGCTGCATGTCATCTTTCGACTTGTCTTTTGTGTGTTATTGCATGTTTGTTGTGTCGCATGTTTGTTGTGCCTTTGTTGCATGTTTTGTATTTCAACACTGTCATACATTGCATCCTTTTTAGAACAGAAGGTGGGTACGCTTACCCACCGAGATTGTTTACAAGATCCCATGATGCCATTCTTCTAGTTCAGGGTCGCATTTGCATGTCTTGTATGACTCATTTCATGATTAGTTTGAGAGTGCACTTATTGTACTCACTAGTGTGATGTCTTTGTTGCATCAGTCTGCCTTTGTTAGGCTGATCATATCATGATGAATTTGTTGTGTTGTGCTTTTAGAGCTTCGCTTCCCATGCACTTGATTTGCATATCGTGCATTTTTATGTGTTAGATGCTTTACTCTGTTCGAGTGAAACATTCATTTTCCTTCAATAAGCCTAGGTTGCATGAGTCAACACGTTAGTGACGAGACTTCAACTACCTTAATTTGACATGTGATTTTAATAGGACCTGTTGGTTTATTAGTTGGGCAATATGAGTTATGCTATTACAACCGAATCTCACAGGATCATTCTAAGCATAGGCTTGGCTTAACCTCCATCACTTGGAGTGATGGGGTTAGTTCATTCACATAATTGGCACAAGGTCAATTTGATGACCTCATTAGGATCCTACGGGAAGACTTAGTCCCTACACTACACACCTTGCAGTTGGATGTTGGTTAGGTAACACTTTGTAGTTCCTGTTTAGAACTAAGGTTAGAGTGTACTTAGGAATTTTCATGCACAACTATTATTCTTTGGCTTGTGCTAATTGTTGCATACTTTGAGTGCTTTTACATGCTTTACTGGATGTGCGACTTTCACATTGGTATATTTAGGGCATATTTTCCTTATAGAGCATTGTATCCAAATGGGAGAAGCTTAGTGATTTTGATTAATGCATTTTTTTGCAAATATTGTTTAGCTCTCCTCCTGTCGGATACGGTCTCTTTCATTTTCACGAATACCTTTTAACACGTTGTATGATATAGCTCGTGCTAACCTCTATTTTGCAGGTCGAGTCTTTTTTTTTTCTCTCAATGTACTTTTAGAATTCCCTATGAGAGCCTGTAATGAATATACGGTACATGAGTACAAGTTCTGAAGTTTAGAGCAAGGACAATGCAGAGAGAATCAAGAATTCTTTGCTCGTGCTTCGTACCTTAATTCTAGATTGTATCTTTATTGCCACCCTTTTTCTTTTCTACGATTGTAGTTGAACCAGCATTGTTGTTGGCCTTTTTATTTTTTTTATATTGAGTATTTATTTTTTAGCACATTGCTTATATTCACTCTTTCTTTTGCTTTTGGTTTGTTAGGATATTAATCACTAAGTTCATTAAAATAAAATCTTTGTTATAAAGTTTAGTTTTAAAAAATAAACGACTAATAAAATTTAGGATTAAATTATTCAATATTTTAAGATCTGTCATTTTATTTCTTGTACTTACTTTCTTACATGACTTTTGGCTTGATTTTAAAATGATCATAAGTGAATGGATATTACTCCTGAGCATGCTAACAGGGCCTCCACGCTTATGATGTTTTAGCTCACCGAATACATGCGACATCACTCGAGAAAAGTACTCTTACTTTCCAATCTAAGCGGCCCAACATTTGTTTTATATAATTAGATGGTTGTTTAGTGCGGTATAAGATGTTAGAGGCTTTCCTAATCCATACGGGATTATAAGTCCTTTGTGGGGTGGCATAGCTTTGCAACTAAATTGTATGTTTCCCCTCTCTTCTTGTCGGTTTCCTGTCCATACTCTTAGCAAGTATAAACCATATTCTCCTTTTTAATCCAGTTAGAGTCTAGGCGTTAGATGTTTCTTTCCATTCATTTTAGATCTACTGGATTGCTTCAGGCGATGAAACACAATGGATTGTTGATGAAGTGATTCCCTAGGTGGGTTGGGTTGACTATCTTCACAATTTAGTAGATCTGATATGGGGAC